GGTTGGATGTTAAGAATAAGATCTGAAGGGGAATGACAGATTAATTCTCAAAACAGTGTATCACTTAAGTTCAGTTTTTTCCACGATCTCTTAAGAACAGTTGTTCCAGGTACCAAGAAACAAATTATTTCCCCCAACAATCTTGGATTTCCCATTACGTCCCTTGGTTTGAAAATCAACCCAAAAGGCAAAAGGACTACTACTTATTTCTTTCTTATTTTTATTACTCCTGGGATTTATACAACATTTTAATAAAGTGGTGTGGATGACTGACTTTATTTTACAACCGCTTTTCAATTTTCTTCCACTACGTTAGCCCTATGTCTTTTCAGAAAATAATAAAAATTGTTAAGTGAATACAAATGTTCTGCTTTGATAACATAATTCTTTATTAATAATGTTGCCGATATAATTTAGGCCTTTTGTAAAAAAAAAAAAAAGACTTACCCTTGAGGTTCTTGAACATTTCTATTTTCCACTTTCTGTTCACATTCTTTTATCATGGAATTTAAAATGACCTAAAATATAGGAGAGGACAAATGTTTAGAACAGTGGTTCCCAAACTTGGCAACTTTAAGACTTGTGGACTTCAACTCAAGAGCTGGCTGGAGAATTCTGGGAGTTGAAGTCCACAAGTCTTAAAGTTGCCAAGTTTGGGAACCACTGGTTTAGAACAAAGATAATATTTATGACAATTCATGTTGTCTAAATAGACACAATGAAACTTGAGAGGTATATTAAACTTCAATATTTTGGTAATATCTTAAGAATGAAATATTGATGGCTACAAGGCTTAAAATTAATGAAAACCGAAATTATGGTATACTTCATTACTAGTGAGATCAAATAGTGATATATTTTATTTTACTTAATAATTTAAGCTCGTGTGTTATATTTTTTTTAGCATTAATTTAATACTAAATCTTAATCTTAAAATTATTTAACGAACCAATTTCATTGTATTTAAGTACAATGACAATAAAGATTATACTTATACTTATTTCTAATTTGGCAGTGTTATGCTAATAATATAAATTTGTATGTCATTATAAACATGAAGGATAAAATTGAAGCTCAGATATTCACCTCATGTTCTGGTGAGAGAGCTTCCATGTCATTTCTTAAACACCTGAGTCCAGGTAAGAAGTGACTGATCATTAACTCTTCTGAAATAACTGAAAGGTAAAGCAGTTAAGGTCTGACAGAAACAAAATTGGTTTGCCACCTGCTTCCTCTCAAGTTAAAACTGGAACATAATGTGCAAAAAACATAGTATGTTTAGCTAACTTCAAAGGGTTATCTGAATGTTACTAAAAAAGAGATGACTTAAATTCTTATATCTACTTTCTGAAACTGCAAGAGTTCACTTGAACAACATTGATATGGTGCAATTTATTTTTTAACACAAATTACTCTTTCTTTTTTAATTTACCATTCTTGGAGTTATAGTTCTATACTCAAGGCTTTTAAAGTATAGAACGATATATTATTGAGAGAGAGAAAAGCCATTGTGTGGGGAGCAGCAAAATGTTCCTCTGCTTAGCAGAAATACTATAGGGAGCTTGGTTTCCTGGAGGGAGAGAAGGATCCTAGTGACAGGAAGAGGGATGAGATGGGTGATTATCACTAATAGCTGCCCTCTCACTGTAGTTCCAGAGGAAGAGATGAAACCGAGCTTATTTTCACTGAACTCTTAAAGCATCGATCTTTGATCTACATGTGTAAAAAGACCTCTATAACAGCATGTATTTAAAATCAATATCCATAAAATGCTAGTCACACTTTCTAGTCAGCTGAAGTTTGCAAATAAAGCAGCCTGCCAGAAGGGGACACTAGCTTTTTTGATGACACAAATTTCAGAATCATGGAGGCTCCGGGGTGCAAATTCTTGCCTCTTCAAGATTCGCAACTGTTTGATGGGACACTTAAGAACGTCCTTACTTTCAAGAATGGATAAGCTTTAGAAAGTGGAAAAGTATCTCCATCCGAAAGAGCCTGTGCGGCACAAGGATACAACTCTTATTGTTGCCGCTGCAACGTAGGAGCCTTTATGCAATTATTAAGAGCTGTCTAATACTCCGCTAGGGAGAAGTTCCCTGAAGGGGGGCCCCTGCAGGAGTCCGAAAGCTCGGAAGACGAAGCCTTTGGTCCCTGTGACTAACCCACATTGGATCCTGCAACATCATCCTGGGACACGTATATTCGCCTTCATTTGTAAAAGCTGTTTAGATTTAGATTTATTTTATTTGTATGCCGCCCTTCTCCGGGAGGGACTCAGAGTGGCGATCAACTCAAAGGGGGAAAAGGGGAACATAGAACACAATGCAAGTAGTTAAAATAGCCAAGAATCACACAACCACACAGGTCGA